GAGGAAGCATTTCTCACAAATTATACTACAATACCCTTTATTCTTAATAGAGCCAAAGTCCTATCAGACTGCTACATGAGTTCTTGGCTTTATGTATTTATGTTACTTTTCCTTCTAGTGCAGACTGTGACTGATATTCCAGAAAGCTAGGGCTTAAGTCCTTGTGTACATGTGTTCAATCTTGTTCAATCTTCTTATTCTGATCGTGGATTTGTATCCAAATATTGTGCATTTTAATTCCTCTAAATTTGAATTGGAGTAACTTCTTAGCTGGTAGATAAAAGCCTTCCATGCAAGCAAATAAGCAAATCCTGCACTGGTACTCTTGCGCACTAATCTTGTTCTGCTTGCAGAGGAATACTCAAGTCATCTGTGTAACTGTGTAGTGTCAATCATACTCTTTTTGTGTTACAGTTAAAATACCCTCTTCTGCAGTACCCAATAGAGGCACAATATCAGCACATCACTTCATTACTTCATAATTTCTCAAATTTTTCTCTTACGATATCAGCCTCTGACTCTGTTTATTTGTTCGGTAAATCAGGCCATGCTTGCTTTGATTGCTGTGACTTTTGGTGTGACAAAGGCAACTCATTCCTGGTGAGGCTATTTAGGCTGCAATATCTAAACATATCGTGGCGATCTCCATAGAAAAAGGGGGAAAGAGAGAAAGGATAGAGCAACTTAAGTAATTGGTTTTTGTTTGTGAGATGTATCCTTTTCTCAATATGTATATCAAATATTGACTTGGGTGGTTCTTATGCTAAACAGGCACTTTCCTTTGTAATGTTTATGCTACTTCTTGGTTTTGCTCAAATAGTGATGTATATTTTTTGAAAATTCCCCAAAATATAAGTGCAGAAATATATTCAGCTCCATTGTGGGGACTTTACCATTTTTTTTAAGAATTTGGCTTCTTTGGATATACATGTTATGCATGAGAGTCCGTCCAGATGAACTATTTTGTTGGTTAAAATTTCATAATGCTTTTTATTTCTAAAATCTAAATATAAAATAGATTAATACAACGTTTATCCAATTCATTTCGATTTTTTTTGTAAATTGAAAGATTCCTTTACTGATTCTCGATGTGATTATTAATTGATATTGTAACACGTAAGTGCTCGTAAAAAATAATCAAAATCATACATGATTGGTTGGATGGTTTTATTGTCTTATTTCGGAGTTTTTAATTCGCATCAATATAAGTTTAGAGAATTTTTGTTTAATTTGGTATAAGTTGTGTGGTAATTAATTAACTTAGCATAAGTTTTAGAGAATTTGAGTCCTTATTGGCATACATTTGGAGTTGGGTTATCCTAGATGCATTAGTTCAGAAGAAACTAAGTTGTATCGTGGGAATTAATATCTCTTGGTATAAGTTCTGTTGGAATAAAATGGATTATGCCTTGTGAGGCATGACTTCGGTTAGATTATGATTACTAATAGATAAACTTATGCTGCATTAAGTCATTAATGATCTCTTAAAGTTATCCGCATAATTTACTTAGACACCTAAAAATATGTTTAATGGGTACAAGTTTTAGTTAAAGTGTCTAAGTGAATATGCGCGGACAATTTTGAAGGGTTTCGATAACTTAAAGCCCTAAAGGATATGTTCTACTATTTTTGTATATAAACTTTTGAGGAACTTTCACGTATAGCCACTAAAAAATAGCCTAATTACTCTCCATAGCTATAGTTTGATAATTTACAATTCGTAGCTACATGTTATATGGAGGAGAGAGACGAGCGAGACTGGGAGAGAGAGGAGAGAGGGGAAAAAGAATGGGAGAAAGGTGAATAGTACATGTATATCAGTTAGATATTGTATATTATACATATGTATTTGTATATATGGCAAGCGAGTGGGAGAGGGAGGAGAGAGGCGAGCGAGACTAGGAGAGAGAGCAGTTTGGTGAGCGAGAGACGACAGAGAGTGGGAGAAAGGTGAATTGTATAGGTATATAATTGTATATTATACATATGTAGGGCAAGCGAGATTGGGAGAGGGAGGAGAGATGGTAGAGAGTGAGAGAGAGGTGAATTGTATATGTATAATTGTATACTATACATATGCATTTGTATATTTGGTGAATTATACATATGCAAACATGATTAATTATAAACTCAGAGTCAGTCCACGTAATCAATACATAACATTAAATAAGAGCATTAACTACAACAAATCATAACTATAATAAGTAATTAAATAGTATAAGTTTGCTTAATTGCGTAATTTTCACTAAACAAACTAGAATTGGAGCATTAAGACATGGGCCGCCTCCCCAATTATCTATCTAGCCCAAATTAGGAGCTAGGGCTCGTAATAACTTAAAAAACTCTTTCTTCTTCTCTTTATTAATCTCACTTCGGCGGCAAACGCAGTGCAGAGGGAAAGAAAGCCTTGCCGAAATGGTGACTTACAAGGTAAAGACTCTTCTTTTATCACTGGCTTTCCATTTTTATTTGAATCTTATCAACAACGGTGTTTATTTTTTCGTTGTTATTGCAGTTCCATCAGTACCAGGTTGTCGGGAGAGCTTTGCCCACTGAAACAGATGAGCATCCCAAGATTTACCGTATGAAGTTGTGGGCTACAAATGAAGTTCGTGCTAAGTCCAAATTCTGGTATTTTACAACTTTTTCCCTATCGATCTTCTTCTTTATTTATGCTGGTTTATGCTTATGCTAACTGGGTTTTGTTTGATTTGGTTTGAAAAAAGGTATTTCTTGAGGAAGCTTAAGAAGGTGAAGAAGAGCAACGGTCAGATGCTGGCTATTAATGAGGTATGATCATGATTCATTTATCTAGTTTATCTGGACTGAGTGCATTTTTAGATTATGTATTAGAAGTCTTATGATCAATAGTTCAATGATAACAATTTTTGGTGCATGCTGTTCAGTGTTTATTTTATTTTACGTATTGGTGTTCTAATTGATTTGCGCTTTTGAATAAGTAATGTAAATCGTATGAAAAATTCTGCGGGGCTGTTATTGTACACAAGAAGCACATTCAAACCCTGTCAACTTAATGCATATGATACAAAAAGTTAATGACAACTTAATGCATATAATACAAACAGTTAACAACAACCCCCTCAAGTACTTAACTCAGCTTTCCACCAAGTTTAAAAGAGGAGATAAGAAGTGGTGTCTTACTGTGCAACAGGAAATTGATGTGATGTTAGAAATTGCTGCAATATCTCGGTGAAGCCTCTTTTTTAAAATTGGTTAGAATGTTCAAATTTGAACAATATTTGTCCCTCTTGGCCAAATTGTTAGGAGAGAAAATTTTGATAGAGGCTGTACCATCTAATGGCAGTTGAGGTCTAGTTGTACCTATGTCCAATTTTTATTTTTTTTGAAAATGTACACTGGTCAATTTTTGCTTAGAGACTTTTTGATCTTGCTAGTGATTTGTTTGTTAGAAGCAATTCTAGCTAACTTTACTGTTGGAGAACATAACTCAATAGGCAAGTAAATTTGTTCAGATGGAACAAAATCAGCGGGGATTTATATAGTTAGTTCAGCTAGCTTTGGATTAAGGCTCTATTGTTGTTGTTGGTTGTCTTGTCTATTGGCAATCATGAAATGATGCTCTTTGTGCAGATGTTCAGTTTCATGGTTGTCGATAAACAATTAAATAATTAATCACTAGCAAGATCAAAACGGCTAGTTTAAATCATGGAAGTGTCCAGTTTTGTTGCCTGTTTATGAATCCAGTGATAGTCATTCCTGGTATCTGTGCTCATTTTTGCAAATAGAATATTTTCCCTCCAATTCCTTTCAACAATTTGTATGACGTTAGTGTTTTGGTTATTGTGGCACTACATCATGCACTAATCTCTGGTTGCTTCTGTATTGTTTGTGGAGATTTTATAAGATTTCCTTATTTTTTCTCATTTTCGTGATGTCTGTTCTATCAAACTAGGAGATTTCATTTCAGCAATATTTTTGTCTCTGTGTTGGAACCTCCTAACTGTAAAGATTTTATGTTCAACTTTTTAGATTTTTGAGAAGAACCCAACAACAATCAAGAATTATGGTATTTGGCTCCGTTACCAAAGTAGAACGGGATACCACAACATGTACAAGGAGTACCGTGACACCACATTGAATGGTGGTGTGGAGCAGATGTACACTGAGATGGCTTCTCGCCACAGAGTTCGCCATCACTGCATTCAGATCATAAAGACAGCAACCATTCCAGCTAAACTGTGCAAGAGGGAGAGCACAAAGCAGTTCCATGACTCCAAGATCAAGTTCCCTTTGGTGTTCAAGAAAGTCAGGCCACCATCTAGGAAACTCAAGACCACATACAAGGCTACTAAGCCCAACTTGTTCATGTAACTTGTTTGGTCATGTGCATTGAGAAGCACTTTAGATTTATGGAATTTTGGTGCATTAGTTGAGTTAAGTTGAGATTCATTACAAGTTAAAACCTTTTTGTTCTACTGACCAAATGATGGTGTTTTTAATCATGGATTTCTATTTGCTTTTATCGTTCAAGTTCTTGCTAATATGATTCATTAAAAGATTCACAATCTTATTCCGGAGTTTTTAATTGTCCTCAATATAAGTTTAGAGATTTCTTTCGTTAAATTTGATATGAATTGTGTAGTATTTAATTCACTTAGCATAAGTTTGAGAGAATTTTAGTTCTTTTTGGTATACGCGTGATTATGCTAGATGCATTAGTTCTGTAGAAATTTAGTTATATTGTGAATACTAATATCTCTTGGTATAAGCTCTATTGTAAATAAAAATAAATTATGATTTGGTTTAGATTATGTAAGAATACATAAACATAAATTATATACATCTTATAGTTTTAATATGAAATTACAATTTATCCCTGATAAATTCTTAATTACATTAATTTTTTAAAATTTCTAAAAACCAAATACAATAATTGAACCTCGAATCGGATACAATAATATATAACTCAAATATATTAAAAAATAGCTCGAATAAAATAAATAATGACTCGATTACTTTATTCCGCGCAACCCAAAATTGGAGCATTAAGACATGGGCCGCCTCCGCTGTGTAGCCCAAATTAGGAGCTAGGGCTCATAAATTCTTTGAACTAAAATAACTTCTTCTTCTTCTTTTCTTCATACTCACTTCGGCGGCAAACGCAGTGCAGAGGAAAAGAGTGCCTTGCCGAAATGGTGACGTACAAGGTAAAGACTTTTTTTTCTTCACTGGGTTTCCATTTTTATTTGAATCTTTCAAGGTTTGATCAACAATGGTGTTTATCTTTTGTTGTTATTGCAGTTCCATCAGTATCAGGTTGTCGGGAGAGCTTTGCCCACCGAAACAGATGAACATCCCAAGATTTATCGTATGAAGTTGTGGGCTACAAATGAAGTTCGTGCGAAGTCCAAATTCTGGTATTTTACAACTTTTTCCCTATCGATCGTCTTGTTTATATATGCTGGTTAATGCTTATGCTAACTGGATTTTGTTTGATTTGATATAAAAGGTATTTCTTGAGGAAGCTTAAGAAGGTGAAGAAGAGCAACGGTCAGATGCTGGCTATTAATGAGGTACGATGAAGATTCATTTCTCTAGTTTATCTTAACTGAGTCTATTCTTAGATTTTGTATTGGAAATGTTATGATCAGTAGTTCAATGATAGCAAATTAGGTGCATGGTGTTTCGTATTTGGTAAGTAGTTTTTTTATTTTATATTATGTGCTTTTGGATATAAAAATGTAAATCGTATGAAGTTTTGGTTGCATATGTGAAATATGATGTATATTTTATCCAAGTATGGCTTTCTTTTTGGGCTGTGATTATTGTTGGTGTAAGTCCATCATCAAGATAAGTTTTGTTCTTTATCAAAAAAACTTTATCTCAAAAGATTGGATCTTGAGATTGCATTTTCAATACCCATTCATCTATATTGCCCCGATAATGTGTTCTAGGTTCAATATGTGCTGGAATCAGTGCTAAGGGCACATCCAAACCCCGAAAACTTAATGCATATGATACAAACAGTTAACATCAACCCCTGTTAACTCCTCTCAAGTAATTAACACAGTTTTCCTCAAAGTGTAAAAGAGGAGATAAGAGGCGTGTCTCTTAGTGTTCAACAGGAATTTCTAGCTATGATATGAAGTTAGAAAATGCCGCAATATCTGGGAGAAGCCCTTTTATTTGAGTTGGTTAGAATGTTCAAATGAGCAATATTGGTCCCTCTTGGCAAATGTTTTAGCAGATAAAAATTTGATTGAGGCTATACCATCTAATTGAAGTTGAGGTCTAGTTGTACCTATGTCCAATTTATATTTTTTTTTAAATGTACATTGGTCCTTTTTTGCTTAGAGCTTTTCTTATCTTGTTAGTGATTTCTTTGTTAGAAGCAAATCTAGCTAACGTTAGTGTTGGAGAACATAACTGAATAGGCAAATGAAAAATTAATTCAAATAAAAAAAATTGGTGGGGATTCATATAGTTAGTCCAACTAGCTTGGGATTAAAGCTCTGTTGTTGTTGTTTTATCTTGTTTATTACTGGCAATTATGAAATGATGCTCTCGGTACGAGGTGTTCAGTTTCATGATTGTCAATAAACAAGACAAAAAACAAATCACTAGCATGATCAAAACGGCTAGTTTAAATCATGAAAGTGTTTAGTTTTATTGCGTTTATAATCCAATGATAGTCATTCTTGGTACCTGTGCATATTATTGAAATAGAATATTTTCCCTCCTATCCGTTTCAACTGTCGGTATGACCTTAATTTTGTTTGGTTATTGTGGCACTGCATCATGCACTAATCCCTGGTTGTTTCTCTGACTGCTGTGTTTAAATTGTTTGTGGAGATTTTATAAGATCTCGTTTTTTTCCCCTCATTTTTGTGATGTGTCTTTGTTACTCCATCAAACTAGGGCATTTCATTTCAGCAATTTTTTGGTTATTCAACTATAAATGCTTTGTTGAACCTACCTCCTAACTATAATGATTGTATGTTCCAACTTTTTAGATCTTCGAGAAGAACCCAACAACAATTAAGAATTATGGTATTTGGCTCCGTTACCAGAGTAGAACGGGATACCACAACATGTACAAGGAGTACCGTGACACCACATTGAATGGTGGTGTGGAGCAGATGTACACTGAGATGGCTTCTCGCCACAGAGTTCGCCATCACTGCATCCAGATCATAAAGACCGCAACCATTCCGGCTAAGCTGTGCAAGAGGGAGAGCACAAAGCAGTTCCATGACTCCAAGATCAAGTTCCCCTTGGTGTTCAAGAAAGTCAGGCCACCATCTAGGAAACTCAAGACCACATACAAGGCTACTAAGCCCAACTTGTTCATGTAACTTGTTTGGTCATATGTGCATTGAGAAGCAACTTCAGATTTATGCAATTTTGGTGCAGTAGTTGAGTTGAGTTAAAGATTCATTGTGAAAGAGATATAAGTTAAACCTTTTTGTTCGACTGACCAAATGATGGTGGTTATTAGAGTATTTTTAATCATGAATTCCTATTTGCTTTTATCGTTGAAGTTCTTGCCAATATATTTTGTTAGCATGGTAGTAAATGCGTGGCTGATTTTGTTTCATTCATCTTGGTGTGTTGTCTCAATTTGAGAAGGGGTGAGAGGTCTCACTGGGTATGCCTGAAATATGTGAAGACAAATTGTGTTTGAATTTTTTTTTTCCCCTCATAGACCCTGTCCAGATCAATTGTTGTTGAACCAGGAGCTAGATGAAATCTTGCCAGAGTAGCTTTGTCATACCTGATTTAGTCCCCTTGTATCTTTGTTGTTGTGGTGGTGGTGGTTGTATAGTATCGACCAGTTTTGGAGACGAATCCAGGACTGTACTTGTCACAGCTACTTGGGAGTTGAAGATGGGACAAGTTTGTGTATTAAGCAATGGTGCACAAAACTTGTGCTTACCAGGTAAGTTTATATGTGAATTCTGGTTGCATATGTGAATCTGCTGTATATTTTGCCTGAGGGTGGCCTCAAGAATACATAAAAGGGGCTACTATGGCCAACTTGTTCAGGTAACATGCTTGGTCATAAGTCCATTGAAGAGCAACTTCAGATTTATGCAATTCTGGTGCTTTAGTTGAGTTGATTTGAGGTTGCCTTTTTTGTTCTGATCATATTTGGATATGCCAATTACATTTTATAATCATCTGGTTTCACAATGATTAAAGGATTTTGGTTATACAATAAAGAGAAAGAAAAAAGTGCATGCATAACAAAGATGGAATTTAGGACATGGATGTGACCCCTCACCAAACTAGGATACATGTCAAAATGCCTTTCATTTGCTAAAAAAAGAGCTATTATTACTCCAAAGAAAGGTACTACTTTATATAGCTGCAATGTTTGACATGCCTAAGATGAAATGTAACCTCTTATATTACTTGGACAGTTTATTTTCACCAACCTCAATCAAGATTTTTAAAGAGGGAAAAAATGAAAAGGGGATACTCAATATATATACTAAAGTAAAAAGTAATCCAAATAAGGGCATCCTTCTCTACTTTGATCACCAAAGAATAAAACAAAATGTTCTTGAATTTATTATGGTAACTAACTTGCTATCACACGTTAAACTACACTTATAATTCATATGTATATGCTTTTTAATGGTACACTTTGGGAACCATTATTATGAATGTGAAGAAAGAAGTTTTGGTATATGATTACATGGGGCAAAAGCACTTTATCTTTGTCTACCACCAGTATGCAAATATCATTACCATTTTCTACTGTTGACCTGTCTTGTACTAAAACTTTGACATAAACTGACATAAAAAAAAAAAACTTGCTAATCAAGCTTTGGTTGAATCTAGAGCAATGCTCATATGTTTTTGTGAAGAAATCATGTGTTTGGTGTTTGTTCAATTTTTGGCTAGAAAATGATATCTCCCATAGCTCCTTATTCTCAACTGGACAATTGTAAATTCTTCTCTTGCTATAATTGTGTCTCTATCAATCCCTTGAATTTTGAGAAGGGTATATATTAACCTTGTGACTAATCATGAAATGCTAACTCATTATCAAACTTGAGCTTGCTCACATTGTCGGTCTCAAGTACAGACATATGAGGAGGGTTACCGTAGACTGACAACTAATATAAAACTTGTCAATTCATGATGGATCCTCGTAAATGATTATATGAGATGCATCTAAATGAAGTGTAGGAATTTATATAACCGATCCGAACTTGTTTAAAACTGTTATTAAAAGTAAATGTTATTTTACTATTATATATAGCTAGCAATTAATTTTTGCACAAGACATGAAGAAATGAACACTTGGTCTTTTTGTTAAATGATGTAAGAGTACCTTTTTTATACAAAGAAGAAAAAGATACATCCTAATAGAGAGCTAATACAAATTACAAAAAGTCTTTAGTCTAATCTAGATTATAACATGCTCATCATTACAACTTAGATTAAATAAAGTCAATATGGTTATCCTTGTTTGTCATTAGAAATATAATAATAATAATAATAAATAAATAAAAAAAGCTATAAAAGTTAAGAATGTTATAAACTTTAAAGTAGTCCTTTAATTCCTTGCATGGTTTTAAAAGTCTATATTCCACTACAATAAATAATTTGTCATCTTGGGTTTCCTCTTCCATCATATTACCCAACTTTCCCTAATTTCTTCAGTACTAAATTAGCTGCATTTTTAAAGCTGCTGTTCTTGAAATTAATATATACTCATCTTCTTGTATTCTGAATAATATAAAGAATGAATAAATATTGGCTCCAAATTACTTCTGTGTTAACTTCTTTTGTATTTCCACATTTCATTGTTTGCTTATCCAATGAAGACATCCAACTCAATAGCCAGTTGATTAGCATCAACCAACATGTTCCTAAGGTATGACCCCCCCCACCCCACCCCACCCCCCTACAAAATTGTTGTGTTTATGGAAGCACATTCAGAATTTAAATTTGATCTGTCGGGTTCATCCGAACCTAGGTTAAAATAATTTTTTATGTATATATAGCAGATGTCGAACTCCCTTCGATTTCTTCGTGTGTCTATTTTTCAGATTTTGAACCTCTTGTCAAAAATTCTGGCTCTGCTCCATAACATAGGAAGACATTTGCTTTCCCTTATTTAATTCGGTTTTTTTTTCCAAACAAGGGATGAGAATTTGACAACTAATGTTAAGTATTGTATAGGTGAATTCTCATAGGATATTTGATATTGAAATTCATGGAATATTATTATGGGCTTCAATGGGATTCTTGATGCCAGCTGGAATACTCACAATAAGATTCTCCAATACAGAAGAGTGTAGCACAACAAAACTCAAAATTCTCTTCTATGTTCATGGAACTCTTCAGGTAACTAACACTGTGTTTTTCTGGTTTCGATTTGATACGGAGTTTAAAAAAATAAAAAAAAATGTAACAAAATCTCCTTTGATACTGTGGTCTAATCTTTAAACACATGACACGTGTCACAAAAGAAAAGAGACATTCTTTTTTAAATAAACTAAAAAAGAAAAATAAAAGAAACAAACTGAAAAAGAAACAGAATGAAGATTTAGTTTCAAATTTTGAAAATGAATTTAAATTTTTAGTAAAGGGAAAAAAAAACTTTTTTGATATCTCCTTGATGAATGATAAATGTTTCTTTTGAGCCATGACAAGTAATGATCATAAATTGATCTTTACTTTAGGTGCACTTTTAATCATAGTAATGTTAAAAAAAGTTCAAAATTCATTTATGTGAGCCCACAGTTTGGTGGGAGTATAAGTAAAAACAGATTTGACTATGATTGTGTCCATTAATATGAGGATTTATTTAACTAATACTAGAAATTAAAAAAAAAAATTATGTTATTTCTTTTGTTTCTGGCTGTAATAATTGATCCTATTTTATTTTCTTTCTATTTTTATTTGTAAAGGTACTCTCTGTGGTGTTGGCTACTGCTGGAGCTGTGCTATCAATAAAGAGCTTTGAAAATTTGTTCAACAATACTCACCAAAGAATAGGCTTAGCACTTTATATTGCCGTCTATGTCCAATTTTTTATGGGATTTCGAAGGCCTATGAGGTAACTTGTCCTTTATTTTTTAAGCAATTACTTCATTCGTCCACTTTTATTTGTTATGAAAGTTAATTTGATTAATTTTCAAAGTTAAATTAGATTATATTAATTTGATATTTTAAACAAAAAATTTAGTTATTCAAAAATTATATGAAAAGTAGTACACCATATAAATTATTTGTATATCAATATGATGAAAAAATCAACCTTAAAATGTTAGACAAAGTTTTTATAGTTTGACTCTAAAAATAGAAACTATGACAATTAATAGTGGATGAAGAGAGTAATAATAGATATAGTGAAACTTTGCCTAGGTTGAATTGTAAAAAGAAAAAATCTTTTTGGCTAGAAAATTTGGCCAGAATTTAACCAGAATGGTATTTTACCTATGTTATTTTATCTTTTTGAATATTTTTACCATTTTAACTTTAATTACTTTAAATTAAAAAAATATTTAAAAAATTAATTTATTTTAAAATAAAAAGATATTATACGCTTTTAAAATTTTCTAACCAAATTTTGAGGTCACCCTTATAAAATATATGTAGGAAAAGCAGCACCTTGGCTTTCTAAAAGAAAATTGAATCCCGCGTACACGGGTCTTGAGATTTGTATTTTTGATACAGTCGTCTAAAATTAAGTATTAAGTAGCTTTACTCATACCCACTTGTTATTTTTGATTAATTCAAGTATTAAGTAGCTTTATTTTATTAGAATTTGAGCACTGATCTTTTTAACGATTTTCACCAATTTCATTCACACTATACTACACCTTTGAGCCTTTTGTACACGCACTTATAACTACAAGCATGATGTCAATATGAGTAATGCACATCTAGAGGCTTCTCTAGAATTATGTGTACATATATCAAAAACATGCATATAACTAAATCAAACTCGTTCTGAATCAACTTACTCTAAATTTTGGATTCATCTCGACTTAAACATATCTCTATGAAATTTAATTAAAGACTAACTTATTATTTAACTCTTTTGGACTATAGGGGAAGTAAAGGAAGAAGTGTGTGGTACTTTTTCCATTGGCTACTTGGAACAACAATATGTTTGGCAGGAATTATCAACACTTACACAGGCTTAAATGCTTACAATCAAAGAACATCAAAGCCAATAAGCCTTTGGACAATAATTTTTACAGCTCAAATATCATTCATGGGATTATTCTATCTTTTCCAAGACAAATGGGAATATATACAAAAGCAAGGGGTCATTCTTAACAACAATGAAACTACAACACCTCAAGTGGAAATAGTTGTTCCTCAAAATGATGAACAAAAGATGATAATGAGAACTGAGTCAGGAAGGAAAAGCAATGCACTTGGTACTTTCTTTTCTAGACATAATGTCCTAAACAAATTATTTCAACAAACTTGAAATGTTTTCATGTTTCTTGTAAATTACTAGTTTCTCGATACGCATGTGTATTTTGTATGAAAATTAATAATTAAAAAAATTCAAATCGTATAACAAGTTATTGGGAGGACATGCATGTTTGTTACAAGTGTTTCTCAATATTATTTCTAATCTATTGTCCAATAGATAAATCTCAAAATAAGCGTGGTTAAATCAAGTTTTACATTTTACAGTTGAAGCTATTTCTTGTGTCTATTAAAAAAATTAAAAGATGATCATTCAAATAAATTTAGCAAATCAAACGGAAAAATCTGTTAAAAAAATTAGAAGATATAATATGATTTTGTATGTACTAGAGTATTGGTGTATTTTATTTGAGGCACCAACTTTCATACCATAAATGTGATTTTTAGGTAGTTTTTATGATTTTGTATTCTTGTACATAGACTATAGTATTTATCATGTTTGCATTGTGTGACGATATATATAATAATTACTAATTGATGAATAATTTAAAGGGGAACTTTCATATATAGCCACTAAAAATAGCCTAATTACTCTCCATAACTATCGTTTGATAATTACAAATCGTACCTATATGTTATAGGAAGGAGAGAGGCGAGCGAGACTGAGAGATAAAGGAGAGATGCAAGAGAGAGGGAGGGGGGGGGGCAAAAAGTGAGAGAGGTAAATTGTATATGTATATTGGTTAGATAATTGTATATTATACATATGTATTTGTATATAGGACAAGCGAGATTGGTAGAGAGAGGAGAGAGGCGAGTGAGAGAGGGCAGAGAGTGAGAGAGAGGTAAATTGTATATGTTTATTGGTTAGATAATTGTATATTATACATATGCATTTGTATAAATGGCAAGCGAGATTGGGGGAGAGAGGAGAGAGAGGAGAGCGAGAGAGGGCAGAGAGTGGGAAAGAGGTAAATTGTATATGTATATTGGTTAGATAATTAGATATTATACATATATATATATATGCATTTATATAAATGGCAAGCGGATTGGGAGAGAGAGGAGAGAGGCGAGCGAGATTAGGAGAGGGAGGAGAGAGGCGAGCGAGATTGGGAGAGGGAGGAGAGAGGCGAGCGAGAAGGGAAAGAAATGGGAGAGTGGTGAATTATATATGTATATCAATTAGATAATTATATATTATACATATATATTTGTATATTCAGGCGAACTATACATATACAAATGTGACTAATTATACAAACTCAAAGTCAGCCCACATAATTAATGTATAATGTTAGTCGTGAATGACAATTATAGCAAACTATAACTATAATAAATAATTAAATAGTATAAATTTGCTTAACCGTTTATTTTTCCCTAATTTAAATAAATATTTTCTAAGATAAACTTGTGAACTATAACTTGCTAGAATAACTACTAAGGGGAAGAAAAACATGTCATGCTTTGTGGATAATATGCACAAGGTCAAAACTCCAAAGGCTTATTTAGAATTCTAATTTTTTTTGGAAAATGTAGTCTTTTAAAAGAATTACTCCAAAAAGTGTACATAGCCTAAGTTTATTTTTGTACTTCAAGTATAATTTTGAACAAAGTTATCTTACTTCTCTACTAAAAAAAAAGTGTACACTTTTAGATCATGACATTTAACGTTAAATTGACATCATTTAATTGAGTTTTTAGCTAAAATCATTTTTTAACTATACCTCAAACTTAAATAACATGTTTAAAGTATCATTTTTCAACTATTTAAAAGTGAACAATTTTCATATTTCAACTTGAATTTATTGGAAAACTGATAGATCCCACAAAATTCAAATCATCTCCTCGTAATTATTATTCTTAGATACACCAAAATACTATCGTGAACTTAAAATTGAGTTTAGCATTATGCAAAATCTTATAATTTGATAGTTTTTTCATTTATTTTTCATGTATTTGATATTAAAAATATTATTAGTTGAAAATGTTTCTTCTTAATTGAATATGTTAGAAGCGGCATTTGTTGGAGATATTCTCTTATAATAATGTAGAATGAAACTCAAACACAACACATAATTAATATTTTGATCACTTCTACCTCAAATTGATCAAAAAAAATTATTGATCTAAATATAGTTTGACTATTAAAAAAATAAAAAAGATAATAAAGCTTCATCTTCCTTTGTTACTCAAAAGAAAATGAGTAGATCATATATCTTCAACCTTCCAAACATTTCTTGTTTCACTAAACAATAGAATATAAGATTTTTAATATTTTTTTCAGGAATTTCTTATAGTATGTAATGAAATTATGCAGGAAAACTTTTGTTAATAGTCACATGAACTACTCATATTTTTGTAGAATACCTTAGTCTTTTGACGATATCTAACAAAAGGATGAAAATTATTCACTTCTAAATACTTGAAGGATGTTTTCTGCTAATAATGATATTTCAAGGATGTAGTTTAAATTTGAGATATAATTTAAGAACGTTTTTTTGCCAAAAACTTTCATTTAATCACCTGCTCTCTTCTTGAAAAAATGTCCTATCATTCAATTTTAAATTACTTCATTCGTTTCAATTTTAATTTAAATAGTAAATAAAATTCTAAATCTTATAATTTTAAATTATAAATATGTAGAATATATTAAAATATCTTTTAATTTTATAATCTTAAGCATGTCATGTGAATAATTATAATTAAGACACCATAAATAACATTGTTTCTCGTGTTAATAACTTGCTTTGCTCTTATAAACCGTCTAACTCTTATAAAAATAAAGAACCAATTATGCTCACAATCACATCTGAAGGACAAGATTAAACTAACTTCTTAAATATAAAGGATCGCGATTTGGAATTCTCTTTTCGCCGACGGAAAAAGTTTATTTGTATCGAATATTTATATTAAAGTTTATTATTATGTAATTTAATGAAATAAATATATAATAATTAATTAAAATTAAATAAAATAAATTATAAATTTAAACACATATATATATTGAATTAGTATAAACTGTCCGACTAATTTTCACCCTTCACCAACAATTCCCAAATCCCAAAAAGAAAAGAATATTTTAATCAAAGGGTTGATTCGGAATCTTTTATCTCCCCTGTACCCTTGAGATACCCTCTGTGACTGAGAATCTCCACTCAAATGGCTTCTTCAGACCACCATATGAATGACCACCACCACCATCATCATCATGACCATGACCATAACCATGAGTACAAACTTGCTCTGTCATTTTTTTAAATTTTTTGTTTTTGGGTTGATTCTTGATTAATTAGTTGACTTACTTTATGAATCAGGGACACAAAAGCGACATCATGGGTAGGAGCAGATGGGAAAGTATACCATAGTCATGATGGGTTGGCTCCTCACTCTCATGAACCTATTTATTCACCTGGCTACTTTAGCAGAAGGGCACCTCCACTTAATGACAGGAATTTCAGTGAAAGAGCCTTTACTATTGGAATTGGTGGCCCTGTTGGTACTGGGTATTTCTTCTTTTCCCTCAATTTTTCTTAAATTTATGTCTTGGGATGTGTGTTCAAGTGAAAGGGTTTTCAGTATTTGAGAAGAAAAATTCAATCTTTGAGAAATGAAAGTAGAAGGGGGAGGATGATATTTAGTAGCTTTTGGTATCTGTTGTAAGTAGGATTTTCTTTTAGCTGCAGCAACCCAAGTAAGAAACAAAAGGGACCATTTTTATTGATAAAAAAATTGAATCTTTAGAACTCTGCATATAGGAACACAATTGTTCCATTAGACACATATCTGACTGTGTGAATGTGTGTATGAGTGTGCTAGAGCATTTTCCTTTTCAGTTCAAGGTTCATAATGTACTGGAGTGACTTCACAGGGTATGTTATTGTTTTTGTAGTATTAGTGTTTGCTTTTGCTTTTCCTCCAATCGCAGTTTCTTTCTTGTTTATTAGCTTGTAAAATTTTGGTTGAACATGTTGAGATTTTGAGGGACTAACTGTTCTTTTATATGCAGGAAAACAGCTCTAATGCTGGCATTATGTAAAATCTTGAGGGAAAAATACAGTCTTGCAGCAGTATGTACCACCAAATGATTTCTTTCTTTTGCCATTGTGACATACTTACTTCATGAATAAGTTTAGTCTGCACAATTTTTTGGAACTGGTGGATTCACTTTTGTGGTTTGGAAAATGGAACTCAAGTTTATTGGTGGTTTTCATATCTTTCTCTGCCTCATCATTTGAAATTCTAGATGAAGATGGGTGTTACATGCAATTTTCCGTTTGATTGAGTCATTTCAAGTGGAATAACAACATTCTTTATACACAATTGCCTTTGGAGATTATCTCAATAGGTCATGTTCTTGTTTTTTAATCATTAAGGACTCCTTCCTAAACATCACATATTGGCATCTGCCAAAACTTCAAACCGAGGTTTTGGGAGTTTACTTGACGTTTGTTAGTTTGACAGGAAATACGTTATGTGCAAGCATGTATTTGGTGTTCTGGAATTCCGACGCTCTTTCATCACTTTCCAAGTCTATGATCTTGAAATCTTCACGTTTTTGTTCTAAGATGTAGAATGAATTAATGTCCATGTTAAGATGCATTTCTTTGTAGGTAACAAATGATATATTCACGAAAGAAGATGGAGAGTTCTTAATAAAACATGGTGCATTGCCGGAGGAAAGGATTCGAGCAGTGGAGACAGGAGGATGCCCACATGCTGCTATTAGGGAAGATATAAGCATTAACCTTGGACCTCTTGAGGAGCTTTCTAATTTGTACAAAGCAGATATACTACTCTGTGAATCTGGTGGAGGTAATTGGTCACAGAAACTGTTTGCAGACACAAACTAATAAGGATATTAAAGTTTATATTTTCAGTAAGATAATGACTGTCTTACATCACTGTATGATCAGATATTAACCCGTTTCAATTTTGGTTTAAGAAAAGTTCCTTATTGCAGACAACCTAGCTGCCAACTTCAGTAGGGAACTTGCTGACTACATAATCTACATAATAGATGTATCTGCGGGTGACAAAATTCCTCGAAAAGGAGGTCCCGGAATTACACAAGCAGATCTCCTTGTATGTTTCTTATTTTGCACATTTTGACTTCCAAAATATATCAAGTGTAAACTTATGTCTGCACATGATCAAATTATTATATGATTGTTCATTCTTAAATTTAGGTGATAAATAAGACCGACTTGGCACCAGCTGTGGGGGCAGATTTGTCCGTCATGGAGCGTGATGCACTTCAGATGCGGGATGGTGGCCCTTTTGTTTTTGCTCAGGTTCAGTAATTTTCTCTTCTCTATTCATTTTTATTTTTTTATAATTTTATTAGTATGACTCTGAATCAAACACCACTGTTCAAGCTTTACCTATTTGAAAGATCAGCTTGTAACTCTCCAGTATTTGAAGAGTTAAACAATGATGTGCATATACGAAATGTCATTTGTGTGTTTGTGAATTCTTGAAATGTAAAAAGTTTTTCCAAAAATAACTCCCTTTGTTCTACCTTCTGTCTGTGTATAGCTTGTCCGGGAAACATTAACCGTTTTTCCATAAACAAATAGGCTTTCTATCTCCAAAAAGTCAAAATCAACTTGTAGTAGTATCATTTGCATTGTTTACATTTTATTCGACTTCTTTTCATATTAAATATAAACTTAAGCGCATCAATACATTTGAAACTGATCCTGAATTTACATGCTATTCAAATCTATGTTGCTCGGACTCTTCCAAAATATCAACGGGTGCTTGTCGGATTCTCTAAAAGTAGTGTACTTTAGGAGAATCCAACATGGGTGCGGCATCGACTGTGAAGAGTCTGTGCAACTTAGATTCAAATAGCTTGGTCACTGTGATGATTTGAGAGAATAAATAGTAATGGAAGTGTAAAAAGTCGTATTGTCTCTGTGTTTGCAATATGAATCTTCACCCTGGCTATGTAGAATACCATGTTACATTTGCTTTCCTATATTGTGACTACACAATGACACGAAGGCAACAGTGAAAGAAATAGCTTCCATGTCCGACATACATACATCTTTTGTTCTCTTTCAATTTCTCTCGATTCTTTGGAGCATTTCCCGCGTCTTCTATTTGAAGTTGTTTGATGAAAGTGGAGAAGCTTCTGAATCTTTGTTTATAAAGACGCGGTCAAATATGCATGCTTTTAGTGACCAAATAATACAAATATTCTAGTTCAGATATATTTCTTTGATAACATACCTTGATACATGAACTTCTTGACTGAAAAGGAAAAGTTGAGAGGGGTGCATCAGAAGATTTGCCTGTTATTAAGAACTAGTACTAGAGAAAAGAATGAGATTTCATTTGTGAGACCGGAACTTTCTTGTGCAAATGTGCGATTTAAAAGCAAGCACGTTACAATATTGGAAGCTGGTTTGTTTGTTGAAACTATAAATTGCACCACAGGAAAATGTCACAGGGTGATTTTCATCTATTGATTCCTAACGCGATATGAGTGTGTTGATTCAACTGCAGGTGAAGCATGGGGTTGGCGTAGAGGACATAGTGAACCATATCTTACAATCCTGGGAAGTTGCAACAGGCAATAAGAAGCGCTAATTGAAAACTTCACTTGAACATTGTGGATCTTTTGGCTTATCCAGTGCTATTATATAACATTCAATTTCCCTGTTTCTGGACTAATATAATCTGTCTACTGAATAATGCTTGTTATGTACAAGCACCTAGTATTTATAAGTTCCTATATTTAATTTGGTTTGTTTGATCAATCATTAATCATATTTACTTTCTTCTAGAAACAACCCTTTTACCTACGCAAGGTAGGAGTAAGGTCTAGGTCTATGTATATTCTATCTTCCCAAACTCCGCTTGTGGAGTGTATTTCGTCTTGTCACTTCAAGGAGGGTGTTTTGCCTTTGTCCAAACTCAATTGGTTGGTTGAGCTTTTAGTGTAAGATTTAGGGCCCGTTTGGATGGGCTTAATAAAAGCAGCTTTAAAAAAGTACTTTTAAAAGTGCTGAAACTTATTTTAAAAATAAGCAGTTATGCGTTTGGATAAAAGTGCTGAAGTTGTTATGTCAAACGTGAAAAGGGATAAATGGAAGAAAGAAATGTTAGGGTTATATGGGTAATTTGGAGATTGTATAAAAATATTAAGCACAAAAAGATAAAAATGTGGTCAACTTAAAACAGCTTATAAGCTAAAAATAAAAAAGCACTCCTGCCCCAGCTTTTAACTTTTGGCTTAAAATAAGTTTTTTTTTAACTTAAAATAAGCTGTTTTGAGTATTGCCAAACAGCTAAATAAGTCAAAAACCAGCTTTTAAGTCAGTTTGACCAGCTTTTAAGCTGAGCCAAACAGGCTCTTAGACTTTTTTCGATTTAAAACTATTCCAATGGTAATTTTTAAAATACTTTTCAAATCTGTAACGTTTATTTACAAGAACAAGAAAGGACGTATTCATTAGGAATTATATTTCATTTCAAAAAGTCCAAATAGATAATCCCAAAAAAAAAATACATGAAATGAAAGATTTGAAGAGGTGTATTACAAATGCTTGAGTTATAAATAATCGTAAGTATTTATATAAACTCCACCATTTACATCAACAAGCCCCTATAGCTCAGTGGTAGAGCGCCAGTCTTGTAAACTGGAGGTCTGTAGTTCGATCCTGCATGGGGGCAAAATATATTTTCAAACAAACAGTTTTTTTTTTTGGTTTTTGTATTGTCTTATACACCACCCATATTAGAGCCCGACTATTTTAGTACATGTTTCATATTGGGGAATCGCTCCTTACTAAGGATTCTTCCATATCTAGGGCTTGAACCCGAGACTCTAGTTAGGGAGGAGAGGCTGCCCGACTATTTTAGATTCACCTGTACATGTTCCCATTTGGGAGAATCGCTCCTTACTAAAGATTCTTCCATATCTAGGACTCGAACTCGAGAGTTAAGAAAGGAATAGCCTCATTCGTCGAACCACATTTTTTTGTATTGTCAACAAAGCATGAATCAAAGTAACAAAGTTAACTCTGAAAATAACTGTAAAGAATTAGATAGAAAAATTATTTACTGAAAAATGAGTCAAATATGTCTTTAATGTTGTTAAAATAGATAAAATTTGCTTTTAAATTTAAAAGTCGAAAGCTTAGGATAAAGTGGAGTACCATATATCTGCCATTAAGGATTATATTTTATAAATAAAAGATAAATTTGAACTTTTAGCATAGTTTAAGGATAATTTAATCTTTTTTAATAGTAATTTTTACATTATCCTTCTTTTCTCTTAGTCACTACTATCTCTACCGCCAATTACTCCTTTTCTCTTAGTCACTATATTGCTAAATGACTAGAACTATATGATAATGCTGTATATTGCATGTTCAAGTCATTTAGCACATTCTCTCACGCTACTGAATATAGTTCTAGAGTCACATAGTGAGAGAGAATAAGGAAAATCGAAGAAAAAATAGTAGTGTAGGTGATGTTGACAATGGCGAGGAGAGATGCATGAATTGGAATAGGAATAATTGAGTGATTGAAGAGAGTTCATCCAATTTAATTATTGTACGAACTAAAAATTTTCAATCATAATTCAATGAATCATAAAAATGGAAAAATTATCAAAACTCAAAATTAAAAAAGTTGAACTATGTTAAAGGTTCAAACATTCCTATTGTTTCTAACAATGAGAAATATATATCACATCATGGAATGCAAAATTTTACTTTTAAAATAATGATACTTAACTTATTAGTAACAGTAAAAGAACACACTAACCCCATTTTAAAATAATGATATTTAACTTATATTAGTAATAGTGAACCCTAACTATTAACGAAAGTTAAATACAATATTTCATTTTATTAGTACACCCTCTTTTTCATACCGTGACATTTTTTCATTTTTCGATAATCAAGAAGGAAAATTTGTGAATGAATCTTTTAAAATTTACAAATTTATATTTCTTTTTAATTATTTAAAAGAATATTACAAATCATAATAATTTAAAATATTTTAAAAATTAATAATATAAAATAAATTTATTTAAACATCAAAATTTGAAAGTATCACATTTATTGAGACACCCGGTGTAGCTAATTTCATAGCCAAATTTGACCACACTTGCCCATGAAATCTTTTGAAGAGAAGAATATTTGTAAGTTTCTCAGAAAGCCCCTATAAAATGTCGTATTTCAAATAAGGTCTCCAAAATTTCCCAAATCCTCAATTCTAACCCTAAACCCAAACGACAGTGAGAAGAAGCAAAGGAACAACTCGAACCATCAAAAACCAATAGCAATCAATCAATCAATCAAACCCAAAAAGGTGTGCGTGTGTGGGTGCAGAGCAAGAAATCAATGGCGGAAGGTGGGGAGAAGAAGAGGGTTGTCGTGGAGTCGTTAGGATGGTTAACGGAATCCACCATCATGCCCAAAAAGATCCGACCAATTGAAGGCGTCGGTGCTTCTTCCATCCTTGAGCTTAAAGCCCAATTATACAAATCTCAAGAAGAGGCCAAACGCGTCGCCAAAGAGACCGTCCACCCTTCTGCTGCTGACCCGAATTATTCCCATCTAGAGATCCATCGTGCAAAGAGGAAGATAACTGCCAAGAACGTCTTTTCGTCTAAAAATCATGGGGTTGATGCCAGAGAGGCCAAGTATACTTTCTGCTTCCCTTGCCCTATTTTTACTTGTTAATTATAGTATTCGTTTTCAATTTTTCATGTTCAGCGTTCTGGGGTTTCATAATTGAGGTTAGAATCTAGTTTAATGATAGTTTGATACTATCAAAGAGTTAGAATTGATATTAAAGTATCTTAGATATTGCAGTTGTATATGTGATTAAGATTCTGGCTTTGATTGTAGGATTGGAATTGGGGAAGGATGGTGATTAGTAAGTCATATACTAGAATCTTATAGTTTGATGCAATTGTGGAAATTAGGGCAAATTTTGATTCTATGTTCTGATTGATTATATCAGGAGTTGAAGTTGGATTTTATCTTATTTTGGGATAATTTTCTGGAGTCCTGCACATGTTTATGCATTTGATATTCATTTTTGTTCAAGGCATATGTGTTAAGCAGTGGGTGGAGGACTGCTCTGGGCACATTGGTGTCTTATGAGGCCTGTGATCCAGAAAATCTCCAAGGCTATTGTCCGAACCACTAGAGTTATTGGTGCTCCAGCCCTTTAATGTAGAACTAAATCATGTTTGTATGTGCCAGCAGGCTCCCCGTTGCATATTGCTTTGTCTTTCCATATCAAGTTCCCTCCATACTTTGTATTCTTTTTCATCTTTTGGCATGAATGGTTGAGAGTGTTTAATTAAACCAGAGAAGACACAGCCTTGCAGGAAGAAGTTAGTTTTAATAGAGAAGCTGCAAGCCCGCAACCTTTAGGGATTTTAGGCATATGCCTGACTTTCTATGAGATGTGAATATTATGATTCCACAACAGTGTAATTCATGTCTGTTTTCTCCTTCATTTCAGGGACAAGCTTGAGATGAAAGCAATCAAGGATGGTTCAGTAAGCTATGCTGCCTTAGAACGAAAGGCTAAGTTATATGATAAGCTGGTGAGGGGTGAGCTTTCTGATGGGGAGGAGGGAGAGAAGTACTGTGTTGACTTCTTTCGGAAGGGCCAGGAGCAGGAAGACTCTGAACAGCTTCAACGGCATGACATTTCTAACACAGAACCAAGAGATGAAGATGGAGATGATGATGCCTCCCTACTATCAGACACAAAAGCTGCAGGACTTGGCCAAGCTGGCACATTTGACCGAAGTGAACACAAGCGTTTCGTTATGTATGTATTGCTATTTATACACTATTTTGAGCTTAAATGTTTGTATGCTCAGTTGAGTAGAAAAAAAAAATCTAGTTTCTGTGTTTTACACTACCTAAGATGTTTGCAAGACTTTGCAGTCACTCATAAAACTGTCTGATTCACTTTGTGCCTAACATTATTTGTTGCGAACACTTTCTGCTTATAGTATTTAATAGATTTAGGAAAATAGAACATCTACCCAATTGTGATGGAAGAATTATGAACCTATCAATGATCAGAATGGTACTTGCTTATGTGCGCAAACGCAGAAAGGCTCCTGTTAAAAATCAAATAAATTACAGGACACCGGATTTTAAGGATGGGAGTTTGGGTGCTAAAACATCCTAGGTATCTTAGGTTTGTTCTTAATTGTCAGGTTTAAGGAAACCCCTCTCCTCCTTCCTCTTCTTGTCTTTGTTTATTTTCCATTTTTCTTGGGTAGTTTGCTTGAGAAGTAACTTTCTACCCGAGCAAAGAATTTGATCCCTAAACATAAGTTACAAGTGCAGAAAATTGTCGTTTATTGTTTGCGAAGAAGTTCATTAATTGCTTATCAGTCTGTTTTCTCTTACTATATTTAATTTGTTCACAACCTTTATCTACTTACATTTGCATTCCATGTTGCTGTTCTCAGGGAAGTTCATAAAGAAGCAAGTCAAGCAAGGGAAAAAGCATCAGAACTCAAGCTACGTAGGCAAGAACAAGTAGCAGCACGTCGAGAAAAACTAAAGCAGGCTTATCTCCGCAAGCAGATTGAGAAATTGAAGGCTTCCAAGACAGAGCAGACATAGACCAGAGGAGGTAAACTTCTAAAGAATAAACCTATGAAGTTGTTACAGCATTCCTTAGACTTCATTGTGATTGGTAACACCGTGGTATTTGGAAGAATTTTGTCATCTTTAGATTATGGACTATTATGTGCACCAAATTTCACTCGATTATAAGTTTCAGGTTTATTGTAGTCTCCAAATGACGCGGGTAGATTATTGGTTTCTTACTGATTGGCAAGCATGGGCGTTTTGGGCCTTAATGGCCGCATATTTGTTATTAGTCAAAAAAAATTGAAGTGGTATGCAGTCATATTGGCAACTAACTGAGTTTTCGGTTATTGATTTTTTATCTGTGTTAATGAACTTACATATCTTTGATCATATTTGACAATGTATTTTATTTTTTTTTCCTATTGCATAGGGGAATATTGTAGAAATCTAACCCACCCCTACCACATGGAAAACTCTCGCTGATACTACTTGTACTAGACTATAAGCCTTGGTGTTTTGGCAATGCATTGAATTTTAGATTGTCGGAATATATGTCAAATATTTTTTAAGGCATGTTTGGGGATGAGTTTTATAAAATGAGCAATTATTTGTTATGATTACCTTTTTGTATTATTCATGTAATCAACTATTGAGGAATTTGGAGTAAGGTATTACAGATTCTAGATTAAGCTGTAGAAAGCTGATTGTTTGGTAAAGTCATGTTCTACCAAGAATACTCTTTTTTGAGAAGGTAAAAGTACTCCTGAACTATTTGAAAAAAATACCAAGGACTTAACATGAACTCACTGTAATCACACCCTTGTTGCTAGGGATCCATGTTATGCAGTCTTCTGTGTTATTTAGCTGCTGATATGTGTTCAGCAGACTTATTCACCTCCCAGTTGTTTGAATTTCATTTAAAGTTGATATACCATATCCCATTCACCTCCTGCAAAAGACTCTTTCAGTGCTTGTAGTAACAATTACATTTGGACATCTTCAATTTGGCTGATAGGTGTTTTTGATGCTGCACTTCATTTTGAACAAACCCGTGAAGGATAGCGAATCCAAGCATCAGCTTTGGCAACTTAAAGACGGGATGCATCTAGCACCTTGAATTTCTGGACTTCCTTAGATGAAACCAAGTCGTTGCTTTATCAAGGAGTAGAGAGCTCAATCGTTATAGCAAATGCTCCTATGTAAACCCTAATTATGACGATTTCTCGTGTTCACTTTCATGTAAAAGCGATTACTTTGTATTCATGGTGGAAATGAAAATGAAGTTTTTCGTTATTACACAGTTAAGAGGCTAAATTCAACAGATAATTACACTGTGGATGAGCAAAAGAAGGATAAGTAAGTATTAAAGAATACGACTCCACTGGGGATCGAACCCAGAATCTCTGGTTTCGTAGACCAGCGCCTTATCCATTGGGCCATGGAGTCTTTGTTGCTACATTAGTTTAACTTTTAATTATTAATTGTGCCACATTAATTTAATTCCGTTAATTGGAAGAATTACTGTGTTTAGTATAAATAAGAGTATCATCTATCTAAATCAAACAACTGATATTTTCAAATTAAAATTCTATTGCAACCGGAAACTTCCAGAAGATGAGTCGGTGTAAATATATAAGTTGGACCAAAGAAATTACAGCAGCTAGCATTTCTGCAAAATCACTTCAATTTTAACAATTCTCCGAAATGCCTGAATCTCATTTACGCCGGCGGAGGTCACCACCGGAGGAGCGGCTTAGGGAGATAGAAGTTCTCATATACTCAGCAGAAGGCCTGAAGAACGTGAAGCACTTGACCAGGATGAGAACCTACGCCGAGGTCTACGTGGTGAAAGACGTCCACGTGGCAAAAACCAAAATAGCGGAGCACACCGGCGACGGAGACGACGGGACCAATCCAATATGGAACCAGGTGGTGAAGGTGAAATTTCACGAAAAGCTGCCGGAAAATGACATCATGGCGGCGTTAAACGTGGATATTTACGCTCACGGACACATTCGAGAGAAACCGGTGGGGAGCGCTCGAGTTTTGCTCTCCGATGTGTTGAAGGATACTAAATCGCCGGAATCGGAGATGCTGGAGAATAATCCGATCCAGTTTATGACAGTGTTAGTTTGGAGACCTTCTGGTAGGCCACAAGGTGTGCTCAACCTGTGGGTCCCACCTACAGGGCGGTTCCTGGTTCCGTTGACTTCGTTGTCGTTTAGCTTGAGGGGAAGAGACGGCGAAGAGGATCAGGTGGTAACGGTGGAAACGCCGGCGGTGGAGAGTAGCAGTGAGGTGTAAGGCTCTTCCAGCTGTGCATGGATACCATTTGGATGTAATAAACTTGTTTGTATTTGTTACTTAAAAATTGTAATTTTGACAAAGCACATAATCCCAAAATTAAAATTGACGATCCATTCAAAATTAGGAATAAAATAATATTATATTGAGGTAATTTGTTTTTAGCCTAATTCAGCCACAATAATTCAATTTACCCATTATATATATAGTTTAATATATTAAGAATAGTTTTAAATTTAACTATACTTATTCTATTGGTAATATCGTAGTTGGTATTATATCACTTGTACCTTTTATAATACTGAATAGAGCATTACCAACTAAATTAAATAAATTTTTAGTAATATCATAATTAATATATTATTGTTTAATTGTTTGGTAAATGAGTATTATAGAAGGTATAAATAATACAATATTAACTACGCTATTGTCAATACATGAATAAATATAGTTAAATTTAAAACTATTCTTAATATCTCAAACTAAATAATGAATATGAAATAATTTTAGAATTTTTTTATATAGTCTATGTAAGAGTAATATTTACAGCTTATTATATATATTCTTCTTTTACCAAAACCGATGAGAAAAACAAATAAATAATGTCGACACTTGATCATTTGTAATTATATAATTATATTCTAATTTAGTTTCTATTTTTAGAAATTGGAGTCTCTACTGCTCATTTCTTATTGTTTTATTTGGGTATAATAATATGCTTATTTCCTTATATATTTTTTTTAACATGCTTATAATTTTCTATGCATATTGTAACCCCCCCCCCCCCAAAAAAAATGTATCATAAACCAATTTCACCCTTTTTTTTTAGTTGCTATAGTAGCTTGAATGTCGAGAAGGTAAGTAATACTACTGATATTCTTGTCATTTTTAAATCATCACATATTTTGACCGGAAATATTTCAAGATTAATATTCAAATTCAACCCTCTACTTTTGATTGTTGCTTAAAATTCCACACGATTAAAACTTCAAGTAATTAGAGCTTATGTCAAGTAAGACTAATGATAAATAATACTCCCTCTTTTCATATTTTCTCTATTTACTTGTCCATTTTGACAAATCAAAAAGGACGAATTTTTTTTCTGTTATAACCTCATTTAAACTTTTTGAAAATTTCCAAGTTTAAATTCATCATTTTTTAAATGATAATAAATGAGGGTAAAATCATAACTTAACTATGTTAATTATTGCTATCTTAATATGTGTGTCATTTTTAAAATGGACAACTAAATAGGATAAAAATAGTAGTTTACTAAATAATAGTAGCTTACTATTGCTATCCATCATTACTTGTCTACTGTATTGTTGAGATGTTCCATTTATAAAATTAATGAATAAATTATTATTTTGTGTCCATCGTGTCCTTCTATTGAATATTATTCATTATTCAATGTGTAGATGACCATTATTTAATAGGGATTATTTAGTGCTTCTTAATTTTGTCTCAAGTTGGACGATATTTATTTGTCTATTTTAATTAATATACCTAAAAAATCAATAATTAATATAATAAATTTATTATTTTATTCTTATTAATTATAAAGTGGATGAGTTAAGAGTAATTAATTGAGGATATAATTAATAAAAATAGGAAAAATTATATATAATAGCAAACTAATAACCTAAATTAAATGGAATAGCTAGGGTTTGATTTAATTGTGCTCCATAGCAAACGTTTGGCAAAAATTTGTCAGGCGTCTCTCTCCCAGAAGTCTCGCTCGCCACTCTCCCATTCTCGCCTCTCTCGCTTTATACACAGAAGTGTATAATTTCTGTTTCTGTTTTGTATAAAGCGAGAGAAAATTGTATATACACATGCAAAAATGTATATCTTCGTGTTATACACTTAATTATATAATTTACAAACATTTTACTTCAAATATTGCAGAGAAAAAGGCCAAAGAATTATACAATTGTGAATTATACAATTGCAGTGAAATACAATTTTTTCTAGCTTTATACAACAGAAGTGTATATATTGTGTTTCTGTTTTTGTACAAAGCGAGAAAAACATATATCTTCTTGCTATACACTTATAATTATGCAATATACATACATTTTAATTCGATTCAACTGTAGGCAAAGCTAATTATACAATTGCAGTGAAATAGGCCAACGAATTATACACTTGTATATGTATAGCGAATTATACAGTTTTTATGTTTGCTATGGAGCGCAATTATGCAAAGTTCGCTATAGCGTACAAATATGAATTTTTTATTTGTTATATATGAAAGTTGCCATAAAAATATTATGGGAGGTATCATTTTACTTTAATATTTTCAAAAAAAACTATCAAAGTAATTAATTGAAGGTATAATAAATAAATTTTCTTTTTTTTTGATTTGTCAAAATAAATAAGCAACTAAAAATAACTAAAGATAGAAGAAGTACTATTATTTAACGAAGTGAGTACAATTACCAAAAAGAGAAAAATGAAAATATTGATTATAACAAATTATCAGTATCTTTGACCTTTTCCTATTGCAAAAAGAAAGCACGAGTGAACTCCATAATTGATAACGGAGAAAAAAATGGAAATTTGATGTTTAATTTTTGTTGTTCAAACTATACTCGTATCTAATTAGAAAATAAAGTCATATTGATTATAACTTAAAAATATTACTTCCTAAGTTTCTATTTAATTGTCTATATTTAATCATATAGTTATCTTTATTTATTTATCCATTTTGACAAATAAAAAAAAGACAATTTTTTTCTACTATATTTTCATTTAAATTTCTTGAAAATTTTCAAATTTTAATTCATCTTTTTTAGAATCATAATTAATAAGGATAAAATTGCAACTTCCGTTTAGTAATTATTGTTAGTTTAATATATCTGTCATTTTTAAAGTGGACAACTAAATAGGTACGGGAGAGGAAGTATGATGCAAAAACATACATTTATATCCAAGAATTTTTAATTTTTAATTTTTGCAGAGTTAATACCTCAGATGGTCACTCAACTATGCATTATTCTCTCAGAAACTCACTCAACTTTCAATTTTTCACTCAAAAGTCACTCAACTTTCAATTTTCACTCAAAAGTTACTCAACTATGCACTTTTTTCTTAGAAAGTCACTCAACTTTGAATTTTAACTCAAAAGTCACTCAACTATCCACCCTTTCCTCAAAAAGTCACTCAATCTATTAAATTATTTTTTAATTAAAATTTATTGATATTAATTATTTATATAACAAACCAAAATTTTAAAAAAATAAAAATTCCATTTAAACCATTTAGTGATCCACCCACCTAATCCGACCCAGTAAAAAATATGAATGGGTCATCA